CGCCATAAGGACGGCAGTATTTGACGTAGCGTCTATCCTAAGAAGACGTGGTCCGAGCAATACGCCAATTTCGGGAGTTTCGTACCGCTAAACATGAAGCCCAATTTAGTCCGTAGTTTGACACAAAGAGTAAGGAGGATCTGTTCAGCCGATAGCATTGGGGAAGAACTTAAGATTGTCGAACATCTCTTTCGCCAGAACGGGTATCCCGATCGATTAATTGTCAAGTACATGACCGAAAGACCACCAAAGTTCCCGATGCTGACGGCAGAAAAGCAGAAGCTTTTCATCAGGGTCCCGTTTCAAGGGGATGCGCCAAGTGAACTTCTGAGAGGGCGCATAAGTCAAGCTGTATCAGGTACCTTTCCAGCAACTGACGCCCGTGTACTCTTCTCCACTAGTCCCATCATACACGGAGAGGGCAAGGACAAACTGCCAGCCCAGATCAATACTATGTGTATTTACTCCTTCACCCGCTACTGTGGGGCAGAATATTTTGGTCGCACGAGCCGGCGCTTGTCCAAACTAATGAGAGAACACCTTCCAGCCTTGTTAGGAAAGGGCCAAATAAAGAACGTCAGCAGCTCTATTCTCGCCCACATGGTACACACAGTTCACTGTGTAGATTCCGGACAGGCATTCCGAGTGATCTACAAAGTCCCGTCAAACTGTCCAAAATCACTTTGACAGCGTCTGTTGGCAACAGCAGAGGCGGCTGCAATCAGGCTATACAAACCAGTTCTATGCGCACAAAAGAACTTCGTGCAGGCCCCACAGTTACCATGGTCCAAAGCCACCATGCCAGCCACCTGCGTATAATTACCCGTCCCAGTGTCCGCCATCCCCTTCTCCCCCTGACACTGACGGTAATTTCGTTTTTTGCCTCATCCACCCAGACCCTCCCCCCAAACCCCAGCTACAGAATAAATTCTGGTTGTCCGCACTTTCCTTTTTATCATTTCGATAGCAATATAAATGCATAGGCATCATGGGAATTTATGGAAAGCTCATGTATGCTCGCCAAATTGTCTTTTGAATTCATTAATGAGAATTTTCGCAACTCGAAAACAAATACGTCTGTCACTTTCTTGTCTGCAAAGTGCAGCAGTTATTTGCATTTCAAATTCTGGCGAATTCTCTTGCAATTAGTGCTCAAACCGCGAGCACAGTCGCATTGTATTATGACTTGTTGTGATCGTCCTAGGCTTCTTTGTAAACATCTCAGCGGCATGATAACAAATTCAGCCGAAGACAGTCTGTTCACACTCGCAGATCAAGTGGCAAAATGCATTTTGAGCAGAAAGTCGTCTCACCGCATTCCTAACGGGACAGATACCTGTTCTGTCGATGCTTCTGCTGCTGGATGACGCAACTGCAAGGGGCTGGGCCTACCAATAGGACTTTAGCGTTTCCCGGGCGGTCTCTAGTGCCAATCTCGTTTTCAAACGTAACTTTATAAATTTGTCCGACATTGCTGAACGCACTGGAACTAATGATGAAACCTGACCTGTCTGGCACATATCCGATTAGTAGGCAGATACTTAAACTTTCACCATCAGCCAAAAAGCGCATGTTCATAGCTCTAAAAGCAGTCAGCAGTGTGTAGATGGATTGTAATATATGCTTCGAGAATTTTTTTGATTATAAGGCCGCGTTTTGTTTTCCGATCCATCCGAACAATTCCACTAGCAATCCCACTTCGCCACTCGCTGGATTGGGAGAGCAAAGAGGGCGCAAGCGGGGCTCGAAGCCCGCGTAGTGAAGCGCGTGTGAACTGATACCTGATGTAAAAGGGGATGGCGTATAAGCACTCCTGCCCCTGTGATAAGGAAGGAGCAAACATGTGATATTTGTAAAGTCAACATGCTCGCACCTACTAAAATTGTTTTAGGAAGCTGATCATATGCTATCAATGAAGTGGGGCTGTAGGACCAAACCTCGCCGACTTTAGCCTCATTCGAGGGCGCGCGTATGTCCGTGAGACAGGATGGCTGCTAATCTGACACGAAAAAGTGAATCATAAGTGAAAATTTTAGACATTTAAAGCTCGAAATTGCGGTTTTGAAGGAGATTAATATGGAGAAGGCATATGACTTCGGATCGACCAAAACCTAGCTCATGTATCCCGTCTGCCACAGGATGGAAAGACATCTGCATATATAAAGTACCTCAGTTGGCGCACACTACACGGCCCAATAAACACTTCAGCCTGAGTGAGACTTTCATTAAGGTGTACTGGCGTAGTGCGAACTCTTGATGATGTCACCATCATCGGAAAGTCTGTGCAAATTGAAGGCATACAGTGAACCTGAGCACGCAAGCATATTCTCAAAAAGTAGCATCCGTTTTTGGACTGAATATGTGTTCCAATGAGCAGCATTTTCTACTGGGAGATATGCGAAGTCGATATGACTGAGCATATCTGACAGGCAGGTTCTGATGGTTCAGTTGAAATATCATCTTCATTTAAAGTCCACTGGCGACAGCGCACCTGTTCCAAGTAGATTTCTAAGTTAGGAATGACAGATATTCACGTCGGATTCCCCACTCATTTCGCTTGTGGTGACTAACGACGCACATTCAACTACTCTCATTCGCTGCTCGGGCTACCCCATCGTTTGTCCATTTTCCCTGTTTTGGTCAACACGCACCCACATCAGCACATACATCGCATCTCCCAGACGTAGAGGCTTGAAA